CACACACACACACACACACACACACACATACACACACACGCACGTACGTGTCCGCGCAGAAAATGTACACACACGAAACCGAAAGAAAACTGCCTACTTAAATTGTGCATATGGCTATAATTATCCTCAAATGAAATTATCGCCAAAAATCGCTATTGAGAAAATATCACTTTTATTAAGTAACTTTGTAAATATCCGAAAACCGTCACGACAGACGATATATCGACTTAAAAGTAAACAGCGGCATTATATTACCAATCTTTATTGCCTACCACTAGCAAGTCTGCCTTGTTTGACACTATTTTTGGGATTCCCCAGTGCACTAATGTCAGCAAATCTATCAATATCTCTGGTCAGAATAATAATACCCAAGGCTCCGAAAATTGAGCGTTCCGTTCATGTTTCTTGTGCACAGTGCAAAAGCATGACGCAAAATGTCGAGAACAAGGATTAAGATTAAGATTTTACACAGCAACAAGAGCAGGGCGAAAGGACTAGAAGTAAAAACTGCCGCTGTTGTGGATACTGGGTTGTTTTAAAGAGGAGCAGCCCTTGGAGTAGTAGTGTCTGCAATATTTCCGTACGTTTTCGTAAAAGTCCACAGTTTATTAATTATCCCAATATAGGTGTGAATTGTTATACATGTATATTAATCTTTTACTTTTCACTTCCTCTGGTATCCTTAGGATATCGAGGGGGAGGTGCAGATTATTGGAACAGTGCTAAGTGTGTGGCGTCTGTGATTGATAGGCCTATAGCATGCTGTTCGAGAATCTTTCTAACCCCGCCCAGCCAGCATATTTCATTACCTTCTTGGTTTATAATAGAAAGCAAATTAATTCTGTAAATTGTTCCGGAATTTTCAAAAACAATAATGCAAATGAATAAATTGCTTTTTAGTCTTTGTGTTTTCAACATCCTCACACACACACACACACACACACACACACACACAGGACAGGAAGTCAGGAAGCCGGAGTCACGAGTCATAGGAAGTCGGAAGTGATGTCATGCTGGACAAGAATCAGAGTACGAATAACATTTTTTCATATTCGGACTCGAGTCCGAATAGTCACTTCGTTCCTTGAAATTAATAGACTAGGGCCTATAATATTAATAGACACTTACATTTTGCATGGGCTTTTTTTAAGATTCCCTTCATCTAAAACAACAGAGTCTACTGGTGTTGTCTTAACTTCAGAAAATTCTGCCATTGTGAAAACTACAGATGTTTATACAGATCCAGCGTTCTGAGTTCGAACCGACTCGAACGACAGCTTCAAAACGTTTTGTTGACACTCAACAATCTCTCGCTCCACCAGAATCTACTCCACAAAACGAAACGAGAGACGAGGAGTCCAGATCTATTTGTTCATTTTTTATCACAAAAGAGTTAGGCTAGAACCAGCGACATCAAGCTACATTTCGGAAACGTAGAAAACCATAGCACTTTGACGTAGAACCGAAAGTAACTGGTGGTTGGCGAAAGGGGTGCGCTTTTTCATGCTGTTTCAAACTCAGTAGGCTACGTTATTTTGAGCCCACGATATCGCAGCATTGTGTCTTATACACACAGTAATTCATAATATCTAAAGTAGCAAAAACAATTTGATTGCAGTCTAGCCTACATTGCCCGACATGTTTTCAGAGTTTTTATATATATTTCGTTTTTGTTTTTTTGTTGTTTGTTGGGTTGTAGTTTGGGTTTGTTTTTGTTG